GCACTGTGCTGTCTGTGCTATCCTGTACAAAATGCTCGGTGTGAGAACACTCTGAATACCTACCTGGGTGTCGATCCACTTGGCCCCAGCCTGGCTATGCTCCACTTTTCCGTAGAAGTGCACAGGCAGCATGAACTCGGGGCGGGCCTTCTCCCAGGGGTTTCCATGCCGGAGCCAATCATCTGCCTCTTCTACCTGCAAAAAGGATATTGCATAGGATTTTTTTTTCAGGAGATGTGGACGTAGTTCTTTCATTGTATCAAACTAAAAGATTTGACCTAGGGTCTGTGTATTCTAGAGTGTGTGTCTTAACATCTGTGAATATAATTGTCCAGCTTGAATGAAAGAGAGAGGCCCTCCAGGGATGTTTATAGTTGGATACCTGGACCTGATGGGTCCTACACGATGGTTTCAGTCGATCGGTTAAGAAATGCTCCTCACAGAAAGCTCCCTTAATAAAGCTTATTTCAATATAGGTACAGAAGACTATTGCATTTTATTGTCTTTATTTAATTTAATCCTTATGTAATTTTGATCTTACTCATATAATGATTATTAATTACGGTTCATTTTGAAAACAACATACTAAGAGGTAAGGGTTTTTTTTTATGTTGACAATTTTAATATTTAACCATGAATTTATGATAACTATAACAAAACATTTCTTACAAAAATTTCAAAATCATAATTTGTATTTAGGGTATACTAAACATCAAATTAATTTTTGTTGTAGTAAACAAACAAAAACAGCAAGAACAAAAAGAACATTTGGGGGAATGCATTTTTCATATAAAGATATTATTAGTGAAACCTTTAAAATATTACCTTTATCTTAAATGGAATTGTGTTCTGACAAGAAGGGAGGAGTAAGGTTTTTTAGTACCAAGTACCCTTGTCACTGAGATTAGAATATGGTTATTTTACCTAGTCGATTCCTTGCTCTTTCCTCTTAGAAAACTCAGCATTGGTTTAAGAAGGTATTGCTTATGAATCAGGAGACACCACGCTGGATGCCTCATGATCACCTAAATATGAGTTTAATGCTTGCC